CATTCAGCAGGAAATGATCTGAAGCAGAAACATGTGATAGGGAGTGATAAGCCTAACCGTGCAGAGTTGGATATCACCTTCATCACCAAATCAAGAGTTCCCAATGGACCAGATCCAATTCATAACAGGTTTCTCTATCTCATCCAAACACAACCTTTGATATTGAGTTTGTTTGATCCAAGATTTTTTTTATAGAACTTTTCCGTTGAAAAAAATAATTAATAAAGAAGTTCTAAAAACTCTTATAAATTTATATTAATAGTCAAATTTTGTTACAACCTTTTATAGAATGTTGACCCGTCTTTATGATTTTATTAACCAAATGCTAGAATTACTCACTATATATATGACATTTTTTTTAAACACATATTTCTTTGTTTTTGGTTAAGTTTATCTAAAATTATACAAAATTTAGTAAATTGCCTCACATTCTATTTGATAATTTTATCTCCCAATTATGTAATTTTTAATGAATTTTAACACACAAAATGTGTATCAAAATAGATGTGTTCTAACTAGTAACCATTCTCTAGTTAATATAATTTTTTATACAATTTTATTAAAATAACTTACTCTCTCAATAAATACACTACTTTTAATTGTAGTAATTGAATAATTTAATTATGAAGATATATAAATTAGAAAGAAAAAAAAAATATTAATATTATATTAAAAGTAAAAATATTATTCATTTTAAAAAATAAGTGTTAAATATTAATCATTGTAAGACAAGTAAAATATTAACTAAATTTCCTAATTGATGTGAATTTTTTTTTCTTGTTGTTGTTGTTTATATTAAGAACGGGAAGAAGGATGTCAACAAACACAGCAACCTTAAAATAGTTGTCGAACGTGGAGTCTATCTTTTTCCTTATTCTCCCGATAGTATCATACCTCTTACAGATCCCTGATTTATAATGTTTCTTACGTTAAAGTAAAAGAATTACGTTTCTTAACTGCATTTTTGGTTTTGTGCTTTAGATACTTACTGTGAGTTACAACAGAATTTATACAATATATTGCAATATTTCATATTGACATGAGTTTGATACTTAACATTTGATTCCGAAACAAATACACACTTAGTTCTTGCTCTAATGAAGCTTCACATGGGATTAATGTTGACTACTACGAAAATTAGGTTAACTTGTGGTCATTAATTAAGGCATAGTTTTTTAATAGCATAGCTTGTAGGAGTCCTTTTTACGCAAAACAAATTTATATTTATATTTATGTCTCTCTTCGTAAATATTAAATAAGTTACTCTTTATTAGAGGATTTAGTTCAGTTAGTTGAGTAAGGTCTTTCTTGGTACCTGGATCCGATTCCCATATGGTAATGAATAATTTGTAAATGATTTTCATGAATAGACAGATAAGTATTATAAAAAATGTCAAATCCTATAGTCATCATTATCTTATAGATAAAAAATTATAAAAATGTTACATGATGGATAATGCTATTTTATTATTAATTTTTATAATACTTTGCAAAGAAAGTATTAAATGAAAAGCACATAAAATTTAATTTTTTAGACGATAAATAGAAAACTTAATTACTAGCTAGGATTGGCCTAAAGTTTGATATAGTTAGGGATGGCAATGGACCTCATGGGGCAGGTAATAGTAAATTCGTCCCCGTTTTGCTGTATGAAAATTGTTCTCATACCCACTTTATATTTACGCAGGTATCCCTTAAGCAGGTATCCATGAATTTCTTAAATATCCACGGATATCTATGGATATTTATAAATTTTTTAAGAAATTAAAAAATTATATTATAAATAATTTTAAATTTATATTTAATGTCAATGAAATATTAAAAATAAAAATTCAATGTTAATTTTGAATTTGTATTTAACATTAATTCGGTTGAAATAATAATAAAAATGCAAGATAATCAATAACTTAAAATACATCAATCTTACACAAGTAAGGAAAAGTCTCATATCATAAAGTTACAATAATTCAATCTCATAATTCCAAACGTAAGTAAACAACTTAAAATACATAAATCTTATTGGTCCAATCAAAGCTAGAAAATTAATCAAATTACATCCAACATAATTCTGTGGAAAGAAAATAAGATGAAAGTGTAGTTTTAGGGTTATGTGGTATAAGGATAATTAGGATATTTAATAATTATTATTAAACGGGTACCAACGGGTATGGATATCATCATACCCGCCCCCGCCCCATTTATAAACGAGTAAAAAATTATCCGTCCCCATTATCCGTGGGTATCCAATTAGCCTATCCATTTATTATCCGTAATGGATTTTACCCACAGATACCTGCGAGTGCGAGTATTTTTGCCATCCCTATATATAGTTAGGACAATATACACAAAACGTTAAGTTTGAACCTTATTTTTATGTTTGTAAATTTTTTATGAATAAAAAATAGAAAGTTTAGTGAAAAAAAAAAATTCAATTTCTATATAATTAGGTTATTGGTGTGGACATAACACGAGGATTCATTAATATTGCCAACTATTGACAAATGTACATTATGGAAGGTAATATTAAATGTGTTAAATTACTAAACAAGTATTAAACAGTTTTTAACAATATTAAATATGTTTCCTTTTCATTAAAATCATATTCAAAATACTTAATAAAAAATTTATCATATTTTAAAAAATTAAAATAAAATTTTATTATTAAAGACCTAAAATCATTATTTCATATTATTTTTGAAGTAAGAATATGTCCCAAAAAAAAAGTTAATTCACGAATATTTAAGATACTTTAATAAATATTTTACTTTTTTTTTAAATATTAGTTTATATGTTTATGTTGCTTATCTAACAAATATATATTTTTAAAATATTTTTTTTTATGACAATAATAAGATTATAATTTAGAACTTTATTAATAATCACTAAGGTTAGTCTAGTGGTAGATAATTGATATAAATGTATGAGAACTTGGGTTCGATTCTTGTAATTATCAATTATACACCAAAAAATTTAGAATCTCCTATTATTAGGCTTACTTTAGTGGATTAAAATATTTTTGTTTTTTTTATTATTTTAAATAATACCAAATTATAAGTTAAGATTTTTCCTTCATAATATAATAATAAAATTTGAGAAAATATTATATATACTATTAGTATAAAGGGATTTTATACTATTATTTAATAAATTACAAATTATGAAAATTTGTTGACTTTAATCTATACATATTATAAAGGGATATTTTATTTTTGTGTTCACAATTTTTAGATTATTTTATTTTTATATTTTTAAAAAATAAAAATATAAATTAACTAAACCCAAAATCTTGAAATTTAAAGATTAAACATAATACCAATTGATTTAACAAATATTAATAATATTTAAACACTTATAAATAAATATAGAGCCATGAAGTATCTTAACCCAACTAATGATAATAACACCCTTAAACTCATAAAAATAAAATATTAATTCGTTTAATATTTTTAAAAATGTTTAATTGCGTTTTTTGTCATTCTCATTTCAAATTTCTCAAATTTTATTAATTAACTTTTAAAATTACATATTTTATTACTTAATTATTAAATTTTTGTATAATTTGTTACTCTAATTATTGGCTATCTGACATTATTAATGATTATTAACATGACACATCGACTAATATGTAAGTAATTAAATGTAATCATTTTATATTATGGATGCATGTTTATTTTCTTACCACGGAATGTCCTATTAGTCAACGCGACACAAGAAAATATTTTAAAGTATTCATTGTTTTAAATCTTCCTATTAACAAAGGTAATTAACCTAAAGTAGTATGATGTGTTTGTGCTTTATAAACAAGTAGATTGTGATTTTATTAGTCAACTATATCCTACATGAATATTGGCTTTACCTTACTTAAAAATATTATTTGACATGTACAATTAATTTCGTTCAGGAGAGTTAGAAATTCTGGCCGACCTCCTAGTCAAACCTAGACAAATGGGAATTAATTCGACAAGCTTCAACAATCTTGCAGAAAATGATGACATTTAATGTCAGCCATGTACCATATAATACTAACGAGAACCCTTGAGCTTCTTATAATTCAAGAATGCATGCAAGAGCTATATCAATTTGCACAAATTGAGTGCCTATTTGTCTTTGCATCAAGTGTATCAGAATGTAGATTAATAAGAAGCTAACAATACTTGCTTCTTCGTCAATTTCGTAATTTGAATGTGGACTTGCTAGAAAACATAGATCGTTGATGATCCAAACACGCATTGAGAGTGAGACTAAAGAGTGAAAAAATAAATAAATAATAATAATAATAATTACATGTGGATACTTCTATATACCACATCAACTATTATAATAATAAAGTTAACTTCAAGGAGGAGTGCTAACACATTAAAATATAAGAGAGGTTGATTTAGTTAAAAAAGAACTAAAAATAAATGTCAAATATTTTAGAAGGAATAAAAATATATTTTACCCACAAAATATTAATAATTAATTTGTGATTATCAAAATATATCGCAATTATACAACAATAATGGTACAAAATTAATTTGAAAATCTTGCTAATATTCTAATATTCATTATTTTAAAATTAAAAAAATTTACTGTAATTAAAAATTCAATATTTATTCTGCTACTTTAAAAGATAATAAAATATATATTCATATTTGATTAGAATTATATTTTCTTATATTTGAAAGGAAATATTTCTTATACCCTAAAATTAAGTTCAACTCTCATTTGAATGCTATATTATTATTTTTTCATTGATATATAATTCAAATGGAGTATTTCTTAAAAATAGTCATAATAAATAATTACATGATGAATAATTATAGAAAAATAAAATTATAAAAAGAGATGCATATAATCTCTCCTTCCATTTATATATACTTTATATAAAGGCGATATCTTCTTAATTTAATATTAATTTGATCTTGCATATTTGATAAATTATTATATTTTTTATTATTAAAATATAAAAAATAAATATTTTTTTCCAATTTCAAACTTTGAAATTTAAAAGCACACTGTGACACTAATTAAACTAATATATTTTTATTATTTTATCTTTATTTTTATTTTTATTTTTAATAAAATTATAAAATGTTTTGATTCCGTTAATTATTATAAATATAAAGATATCTCCACTTAATTAAAGTTATTCAAAACCATTTTACATTATTTAATTTTTTTTTTGGAAGTTTTATTGCCAAAACCAAGTCCTTTTCTTTGAATCATCCAAGGTAGATGAATTATTGTTTTAAAAAAAAAGAGAAATGGGATTTGATCAGTTTCATAAGGTAACCCTACACATGTTAAATTTATTTTGGCACTAATTTTAAAACTATTTTCTTTATATTATGCTACTAACATTAATATTCCGTTTTAATTATTATATTTTTATACTAAACTTATCTATTATTTAAAATTATAACATATAAATATTTAAAAAATAAATAAATATAAAATGTATCTATTACTATAACTTTTGATAGTTATTTTTAGAATTTTCAAATGGGTAATCAATAAATATCAGTTTCTTAAAAAAATTAATTATAGAAAGCGAAATTTCTAAGGTGAAAGTTCATATTTATATATATATATATATATAGTTTAACTTTAGAAAATTTCATCTTGACATTTATTCCACATTTGAATTTCATTTTCATTTTTCTATTTAGTTATTCTCTTGCTGGCCAGTACCCTCTCTTCCTCTCTCATTCACACAAATATAAATATAAATATTATATTAATTTTTATTTTTATTTTTTATTTTTTATTTTTTAAATTTGGTTTTGTTTTTTTGTTTTTGTCTATGTCTGACTGAGAAACACAAAGCCGAAGAGACGAAGAGAAAGAAAAAAAAAGGGCAAGTCGGGAGAATGAATGAATGAATGATTGAGAGACCAAATCCAACCACGCCAGCCCCAAAACGCTGCGTTTCGCTCTCCTCGCCCGCTCCCAAACCCTAACCCTGCCCCGGCCATCCCTTCGGTCGCCGTCGACGACGTCCGTCGCGCTAAACGCCGCAACCCGAAGAAATCGAGCGATTTGAGCGTGTGGGCGAGAGCGAGTGGATCTGAAGGAAGAGGAAGAAGGGCGATCTCGTCGGAGGAAGCGAAACGATGCCGTCTCACGCGGATCTGGAGCGTCAGATCGAGCAGTTGATGGAGTGCAAGGCTCTGGCGGAGTCGGAGGTGAAGGCGCTGTGCGATCAAGCTAGGGCTATTCTGGTGGAAGAGTGGAACGTGCAACCGGTGAAGTGCCCCGTCACCGTCTGCGGCGATATTCACGGCCAGTTCTACGATCTCATCGAGTTGTTTCGGATTGGAGGCAGCGCCCCTGACACCAACTACCTCTTCATGGGTGATTATGTAGGTCAGTCACACTTCTTCAATTCAATTTCCCTTTTATTTATTTTTGTCTTTGTTTGTGGGGAGGGGCTCAACGTGTAATTGATGTTCATGTTTGATTTTTTAGTTGAAATATTTTTAGGTTATTTTTTTTCTTTTCAAAATGTTAAATGAACTCGTCTGTTTCCATATTTGAGTTCCATGTGGTGTTTGTGAATTTAATGCCTGTGCTGAAATCTAATTTAATAATAAGAACTTGAACCTTTTAGCTCCCCGGGGCTTGTTAGATGAAGAACTGTTTAGTGAAACCTTCTCCCTCTCTTCATCCTGGGAGGTGATTGGGGTGCATCTACGATAGGGATTTTGCTTAGGGTTTCTTTAAAATTGAAGTTGTGGGTATTGGATCTTGTCATGGGAGTGTTCCTGGTGGTGCGAGGAAATGAATTGGCGAGATATACATGTCGCCACTGGATGTGGTGTAAATTATAACAATCCTGATTGTGGTGATTTTCTGTGTAGTTTTAGTTTGTGTTAGAAGAACTGAAACTTTAATCGTCAAACAGTTGATGGACAAATTAAATTGAAAATTGTATGGGTGGATTTTCGTGGGATATATATGTGAGGGGTGAAGCTATGTGATGTCCAATATGTATTTTCTTTCACACCGTTATATATGATGGTGGATGAGGGGAATGGGATTTGATACTGTTCCTGATTTTAGGAAATAGGCAATGATTTCTGATGATAATGGTTTTTAAATTGTAATTCCTCTTTTGTTTAGTAATGCTTATGAAATATGTTCAAAGTTTGTATTTTTGGGAATTGCAAATTATGAATTAATTATGTTTATGATTTTTTCATGCATATCTATATGCATATCCTAGACATTGTGATTGTATACAACTTCTTGCAAGAATAGACATGTTTCCATATTGTGTCTGTGCATCATAGGTTTTACCATTGGTCATTATCATCATTTCTTTTATCACTGCTTTTTGTAATTTCAAGTTATACTCTTCACGTCTGTGGATGCTTTTGGCATATCCTCATGATAATTGCTTAATTAATGCAGATCGTGGATACTATTCAGTGGAGACTGTTTCACTTCTGGTGGCATTGAAAGTCCGTTATCGAGATAGAATCACGATTCTCAGGGGAAATCATGAAAGCCGTCAAATTACTCAAGTGTATGATCCTTTTCTTCTCATTCAATGTTTCTCACAACACAATCTTGGAACTACCTCATTTATGTATGTTATGGTCGATCATGTTTAAACCAAAGGTACAGAAATCAAATAGCATTGTGGTATTGAATGTGAGCCACTACAGCTGCTATAGCATTGAGACTGCTGTCTTTTGCAGCTGGAATGGATGCAAATGTGATTGGGTGCAAAAAACCTAATTTAGCCCTGTAACAGTCTATTTAGTGGATGGTTTTGACATTTTGCTCCCCTCTCTCATTGAATCGAAGTTTCAAATGAAACACCAAAGTTTCACACTTGCTTTCATTCTATAATCTCTATTATGAACACTCACTTTTCTCCGGCAACATTGTCCAGCTAGTAGTGACATTTCCCTGCATTTTCTGGCCTGCTGAGATGGTTTCTGTCTATCCATGACCCTTGTAGCCATTTTCCAGCTATCCCTGTTTCCAACCTCTAACTGTTATCTTTTCTATCGTTTTTGCTCTGTTCTCTGGTCTGAATTTTTATTGCTAATAACGAATGTCTTAATTTTGGATAACTTTATATTATTTGAGCATGAATATATGTGTTGTATATATGTCATTTGACGTGTTTCTAAAATTACACTAGTGGTCTTCCTCGTGTTCGCTATCTTGCTGTAGCAATTTTGGGGTCAGCCACTCCACACTGTTATCTAGGTATGATAACTATGTATGCAACTTGAAATTTTGAGAATAAGTTGTGGAGTTGCAGCTTCACCACCTCTAATTGTTGGCTTTATTACCCAATTGAGCTCTCGTAAGTGCATCTATCCTGTGGAAGACTTCAAAGGGCTTAAGAGCAACAATTTGGTTTTGTAATGGCTTTAGATTGTACTTTTTTCTCTTTCTAGGTTTGTCTTTCTCATCATTATTATGCGGACTGAATATTTAGTTTTAGAACATTATAAATTAGAATAATAAAATATTTACTTTGTTGCATTTAGCTATCTATCAGATGGTGAATGCTGTTATAGAAATGGTTATCACCGAATGAGTAGCAAGGTTACATTATGCCTGTGTGGTAAACTACTAGAAGCTTTCCAATGTGTAATTTGTGGTTGAAATTAATTTGGACACATCTCAATCACATTCAATTGCAGTTCAAAATTAATTTTTATCAAAATCAATTTTACCAAACTTCAAACCAAACGAGTACCTTGTTACCTTTTCATGGCATCTTAATGACTTTTGTTAAAACCAATTCATTAATGATTTAACAGAAATGAAACAGGAAAAAATGGAAAATCTCTATAAACACTATAAACAATAGTTTTTTTTTTCCCTTCCTTTCTTTCTTATTGTCATTTCATCTATATCTTTTACCTACTGATTTCAGGTATGGCTTCTATGATGAATGCTTGAGAAAATATGGAAATGCCAATGTCTGGAAATATTTTACGGATTTGTTTGATTATTTACCTCTGACTGCCCTCATTGAGAGTCAGGTTTGAGTTAAATATGTTGCAGATTGTTCATCTGATTAATTTTATGCCAGCCTCTAACTTCGTGTATTACAGATTTTCTGCTTGCATGGAGGTCTCTCACCTTCTTTGGATACACTGGATAATATCAGAGCATTAGATCGTATACAAGAGGTTTGTATGTAATGGCTACCACGAATGCACTGAATTTCCGTATGATCAATTTACCATGAATAACATTTTTATTTGGAGAATGATATCTTGAGCTAGATATGCATCTAATGTTTAATGTGGCTTTAGAAATATTTTTACTTGATGTTGTAATATTAGTTATAATATCGTTGTTTTTCTCTGGGGATGTTTCATCTAAACTGCTTCTCTCCCTCTTTAGTTTAATAAAATATTTAAATTTCATTTATTGACCTAAACAGGAACATAAAGCTTTTAGGGTATGTCATCTTTTACTCCAAGATGGAATGCCATTTCATAACATTTGTATCGAAATCGAATACATAGCCAGTAATTAGGTCACATGGTTTGCCTAACAACTGTACTTGTATTTTACAGGTTCCACATGAAGGGCCAATGTGTGATCTCTTGTGGTCTGACCCTGATGATCGCTGTGGATGGGGAATATCTCCACGTGGTGCTGGATACACATTTGGACAAGACATAGCTGCACAGTTCAATCATACCAATGGTCTCTCCCTGATATCCAGAGCTCATCAGCTTGTTATGGAAGGATACAATTGGTGCCAGGTGACTGTCAACTTTTTTTAAATCAATATAATGGTTTTTTTTTTCCAATACCTTATTGATTCTATCTATTGTCTTTATGTTGGTGACTCTTAGGAAAAGAATGTGGTGACCGTATTTAGTGCTCCAAATTATTGTTACCGATGTGGGAATATGGCTGCCATACTAGAAATAGGAGAGAATATGGATCAGAATTTTCTTCAGTTTGATCCAGCTCCAAGGCAAATTGAGCCTGACACCACACGCAAGACTCCAGATTATTTTTTGTAACTTCGTTTATCTGCTTGTTTGTAGTTACTGCTTTCTGCCATTACTGTAGATGTGTCTTTCAGGAAAGAGGATTTTACTGTTTAATGGAGGGTGGTCATCAACATAATTCTTTCTTTCGGAGTTTACCTGCAGCCGCTACCGCCGCCTTATTTGTACAAGAAACCAATAGAACTGATACAAACCACCAATTGGGGTTGTATATTTTTGGGAGGAGGAAACGGCAATAACATGGTATATCTTGTTCTGTAATCCTTTTTTTCCTCTTTAAATTAAATCTCAAGGTAGAGAGAAGATTTTTGAGTCCTGACAATGATGTCATTTGAGACTTTTGATGGTGCCAAATCAAAGTTCAGGTGTTCATTTTTCGTGATTAAATTATATCATGGTAGAGGGTTGAGTTGGGACGGTACATTTGAGACCTACAGAATAGGAGCCTTAAAGTGTTTTTCTTTTTTATTTTATTTAACCAATACCCTTTGGTTTTGCTGTTGCCTATTTTGTCGTTGATTGCCTTTTATGTTGAGCTGAGAGTGATTATCAAATTTATAACCTGTGTCCAATCGTGGGTTAACATTCCAAATTCTTCAAAGGGTTTGAGTGGCTGTGTTTAACGAATACTATGGGATATGAGGTGGTCATAACTCAACTCACATTAAGCGTAAATTAGGAAGTATGTTTTAACAAGATTTATAGCATGAATTGGATCTTTAAAAATTCATAGGTTCCAAGTAATTTCAAAAAGCGTTTTTCAATTTTTATTGTCACACTTGATTCCTATGAGATACTGACTGAGATTCCTTTTATGATATGAACTACAATATGAATGATGCACTTAATTCAGATAAGATATTCAGATTATATCAAATTAAATGCTACAATGAAAGAGATAGAATAAAAGAGATAGAGGGAAAGAGAAGAACGTTTCAAGATTACTACTCGTGTAATCACTCCATAGTGATTTTCATCTAGTCTTCAATTCAAATATTGAGTTTTCTGCTAATCACAATAATTGTTTTACAAACAATCTCTTTACAGTCACAAAGAAGAAAGGAATCTTGAACTCTATTAAGAACTTGTCTCACTCAAATTGTAGAACTCCACTACAATAAAAAAAGATGCCTTGTCTAAAATCAAAATCACAAACATAATATTTTTCACCAAAAGATTTAATGTATGGTATCACCCGAATGTGATTGACAAACAAATTGAAACACTCAAATCAATTCACCATGACGGTCTCTATTTCTTGATTAAGTTTTGATCTTTCCTTGAGCACATTAGTGATGAAAAATCTCGAATTCAAATAAAGTTCTTGATAAAACTGATTTTCACGCTGAAAAATTTAGAAAAATAAAGAAAATTCTATGAAACTCGCCCAGTTTGTTATTATATATATATATATCATGATGGATTATTCTCACTCATACTCAACTATTTGATAACAATAATCACTTATTTATTCTTCAAGTTTCTATATTTTTCTCATGAATATATTGTCAATTAATCCAGCACATAATCGATTCTTTGTGCATGAATTTTTTTTTCGAGAATTGAAAAATAATCACTATCTCAATACATAATTATTTAAGAGAGTTCTGTTTTATTAAAAACCAAACTACTTATAATAATTAATTATTATTTACTTAAATTGATTGTACCACTTAGAAAATTAATTTTTACTTTTAAGAGTATACATAAACCAATCAAGTCCAATTATTATTGTCCGTACATTAATAATTTAAAAATGATTTTAAGTTCTTAGGATCAATTTTATAAGCTATTTTGGAGATTCCATCATGCGCATAATACGCACTCATAGCATGCGTGAAAACATTCAAGTGAGACAATTTTTTAATTATAAAACTTGATTTCTTTGTCACTTTTGTTTTAGGTAACTACAAACATGAATGCAAAATTGCAAGCTATTCTCCATGGTCTCCGTTTAGCTTGGAGTAAGGGGTTTAGAAAAATCATATTTTAATCAGACTCCTTGATGGCTATTAAATGGATATCAGATAATCCCTTTCCTTGGCTCTGGAGCTTCTATGGTGATGATGTAGGATTTTATTTTTCTAACATGGTACGAAGTATTCGAAATATGTAATTAGTTTTCGTTGGGAATCTTCAGCATTCCATACTCAAGACTAATATTTGAACTTTTGATATTTTGATTAAGACACAATCATTATATTTAATACTAACCAATATTTGTTTATACCAACCAATGTTTGTGTGAGGTAGAATGTTTGTCCTCAAGCTCTTCATCCCATTCCCATGATAATGTCGGACACAATTAATCGTCATTGTCTTTGTTCATTGATTTCTATTTTCTTTTTATTTTGATTGATAAAAATAACTAACTAATTTAATTATTATTTATTAATATTAATAAATCAAGTATTTTTTTCTTATATATAAAACTAAAATACTAATAAATAGTTAATTCTCGAATCAATTATAACTAAATTAATAAAAAAGTAAGGCTAATAAATCATTTGATTAAAACGTGATCACAACATCTAAAATAACAATAACCAATCATAAAGAAATATTGCTAATAAATAAAACTTAAATATTTTGTTCTAAAATAAAAAAAGTATAATTATTTCTTCAATAAAGACTATAATAAGAAAATTCAATATTTATTTTAAAAGAGGAAAAATATCATTATCTTTTTTTTTATTTATAAAAGGTTATGGGGTGAGAGAGGCTCGAACTCTCGACCTCAGGATTTCTCTACAGCTATGAGACCTACGCGCTAGCCAACTGCGCCACCACCCCTTATAGACAAGGTACTATTACTTTTATAAAAATCTAAAATAAAAAAAAAATATTAAAAAACAAAAATAATACTTAAATGCTATAATGGGATCAAACTTAGTTGAGAACAATATGCGCAAATTATTATAAATATCCTCTGATACTGAGTGCAATTTTTAATAAATAGAAAAGTCATTAATTAACCTATGACATTTATGTAACTTTGTGCATGATATCTTACCATGACTCACAAAATGATAAATTCTATTATATGATATTTATCTAACTTTATTATGACATTTTATCATGATTAACAAAGTTTATTGTAAACATACTTATAAATTCTTGATAAAAATATTTTTCTAATTTTATTAATGACACCTTATCCATCTAACCTTATTTATGACATCATATATAATTAACTTAACATTAATATTTATATATATTAAACAATTTAGAATTAAAAAATTAGGGGGTCAAGGCCCATATGATATCTTAATTATAAGAAGGAAAAAAAAATCGTGGCAATAACGAACATTGAGAACAATTTGAAATGACCACGCAAGATCCATAGTATAGATTCGGACAAAGACATTGGTCCTAGAAGGTCTTGTTCGATTTATCTGAAGTCGAGGGGCAGAAGAACTTGGGGAAACAATCAAACAAAAAGAAATTCGTTGGTACTTTGTATATATCAGAACCTTTGTGGAAGTCTTTCGTGAGAGCTGCACCTGCCTTGTGTGGGCCTGCACCAAAAGCATTTGATCCATATAAAGAAGGACGATTTTAGAAGTTAACCTAAGGCTGCAGGAATCAATGCTTCTGTTGCTTAAACTTCGTTCTCACCACTTAAGGAAAATGAAAAACGATCGAAATGACACTTCGTGATGGTTAAATTATTAATTATTTTTTTTAATAATCAGTTATAGTTTAATAGGACAAAATTACTGTTTTACATGAATCCAAAGACAAAAGTACGTAGTGTTTTATACGATTGTTTTACGTGTGGTGTTGCATATTTAGTATCCACATCCACCAAATACCTATGCCTTGCCAGCGTTTATTGTTTGAGATACCGAGAAACATATATAATCCACATATTAGGAGCCAACACCAAGAGCAATTTCCTTTTTTTTCTTCTTTGAATATCCTTTTTCACAAGTTTGCATTAATGATTACATCATACTTACCATATCAACCTTATCATTTACCATGAACAACACACAGATACGTGGTTCGTATAGTTACGTGATTTGTCACCTTCTAAATTATTGTTATTGATAAGTATCTTTAAAGTGAACGTGGTACGTGTCTGATCATGGTTGTACATATATGTATCTCTCTTTTTCTTTTGAGCACAGGATATTCTAGTATGATTCTTTTATGTGTATGTATAATTATATATAGAGATCGAATTCTCGATCACATTCTAAGCAACATATATACTTATTTGTCAACCACACCAATGGATTATATATATCTATAACCCATTTAATATCCTTTTTTCTTATATTAGGAACGACCATTTTTGCTTATTGTTCTCTTTTCATGCCTCAAGTTTCCCTACTTTTCTGAATCCTCCGTAATGGCCAACAAGGACTATGGAAACAACAAGAGATCAGTTTGTGAGACATCAATGTTGTTGGTGGCAAACATCATCAGATTATCATCTCTAAGATTTTCTGGCCACAGTTTCACAAAAAAACTTACACCTCCTCATCAAGAGGAACCAATCCATGTACCTACGGTGGGCAAAGGCAACGAATCTTCGGTTTCTAAATTTTACATTAGTGGAAGAACACATGAACCGGAGAGGATCAACATGCCTCGTTCCTACCTAACGAAACCACCAAAGGAGGATCCAACAACCTATGTGCATCAAGCACAAGACGATGTTGACGTCAACGCTGAGAACTATATCAGCCATATTCGTGGAAAGATAAGGAATGATGCTAATGTTCATCATTGATACAAAGTGAAAACGCTTTTCTCTAATTCTCTTGTATAGTCAAGTAGATTTTGCACTTTTAATGATTTATTGTGTAAAGCTATATTAATTAGCTAGCTTGCCCATGTTTCGTTTTCTGTTCAAAAGATCAATAAAAAAAAGTGTAGTTTTAATTCTACTTTCTAGTTAGTATCACGATTAATGTACAACGTTTCTTCCCATATTTAATTTTCATATTGAGCTCGCCGTCGTGACAAAACTTCCCTCAATCAATGTGCCATCAATTTTCTTACGATTTTTACTGACGTGGCCTGTTAGATATAACTAGAGATGGAAATGGAGTCAGATGGGTGACATTAGTATCATTTGTCTGTGTTAATGCAGGTATCTATTTAACAAGTGTCTGAATTTTTAATATACTGCAAGTATTTACATGATATTCAAGCTTGTTTAATTAAAAAAACTAATATCTTATAATTATTTTTTAATTAGAAATAAATAAATAAAAAATCATAGTTAGAAAAGAAAAACAAGGTGTCACAAAAGTGGGACAATATTTCCATAAACTTTATGATTGGATTATCTAGAACCACAAAAAACTTGGGCTCTATTTGGATAAAGTAAATAGATCGACGAAATATGTCCATTTTATTATAATCAACATTCTGTATCATTTGAGTAGATTAACCAAATTATACATTGAAAAGATTGTCAGGTTATATGCCATAAGCAACATTTTAATCTATGACAAATAATGTTCTAACTAGTGATTTAACAAAATAAGTTAATGACTCCATTAGATAAAGTAATTAACAATTTGAGTGATGGAAATTAAAATTGAGAATTAATGTATCATTTAACTTAAGGGCTATTATGTTATAGTGCTGTAAAGTTGAGAACTAAAATTATACTTTATTCATTTTAAAAATGATAAATTAATATTTTAATAAAAATTTTGCTTACAAAAGAAATACAGTGTCCAACTGTTTTTTTTTTTTTTTTCCTTTTCTTTTTCTAGATACCAATGAAATGGCAACAAGTTGGCCAATGGCATTATGGCATAGAACAGGTGCCCCATCGTTTCACAGTCCCACCTCAGAGAGAGACAAACTAAACAACAATCCCCCAACACCCAACGATGCGACACCTCATCCTTCCTCTCACACCCACACCAAAACAACCAATTCAATCAATTTCCCGAGTTCCCTACAACCTATCCATTCTCCTGCAAGCAATCATAATCATATATGCATACACACAATTCAATTTTTAATTAATCTCTTACCCTCTTCATCTCTACTTTACATACAAAAAAATTCAATCAAGACCACATTTAATTAATTAATTAATGACTTTGTTCAAGCAACGCTGATAATGCTATCCCCGCCACCGCCAAAATTCTCAACACTCATAGCCTGAAAAGTCCCCGGCAGCTTCAGCGACAGTGACTTCCCATTCAAGTCCAACTCATCCATCTTCGAAGACGGAGGAACCGGCAGAACCGGTTTCGACCTACCTGATGCAACCGCTTGTTCCTCTCCCTTTACCATCCACGATTCCATCACCTTCATCATTTCAAATCACAAACAAAAAAAAAAATTAAAATTAGATCCGCGTGATAATTAAAATTGTTGTTACGATAATACCGTGTGGGTGGTGATGTCGAAGAGACTAGATCTCCGGCGGCGGCGGTTGTGGGTGTGACGGCGGAGGAAATACTTCTGAGCGTGACTGGCGACCTGAGTGGGCGTTCGAGTCTTGACGAAGTTTCTAGAAATCCCTCTCCAATCTCCTTTTCCAACGTTCTGTAATCCCAACAGGAATAGCCTATGCTCTTGCTCGGTCCAGGGGACACCTTTTGTTATAAACACAATTAATGATTCTGAAACGAACAGAAATATTATTTAATTAATGAGTTACCAGTTACCACGCTTGCGGTGGCGCGTGCGATGGGAGGGATGAACGACGTGGTCTGAGGCGTAGCCTGTGTTGGGATGGTGCGGCGCGGGGTGGTAGTGGGAGAGATCGGTCATGCTGGCGGTCTTTCGGAAGGAAGTGGGGTTATTATTATCGGGTAGGGTGAGGCGCACGCCGAAGAGCATGATCCCGTGATCCTTGTCCTCCGCGGAAGACATTTTGGGTTGAGTGAGTCCATCTCCATGTAAGGTGATAAAAGAAGAGAAGAGGGTGGATTTGGCTTTCAGCTTCCTTTGTTTTTCGCTGCCCTTCTCCTTCTTCACGTGCTTCTTTAGCCTACCCACCCACTCCACTCTTAGTCTCTTATTCACCAATCTTATTTTCCAAAATACCTCCTATACTCTTTTTTCTTTTTTTTTTTTTTTTTTATCCTCACACTCGTTATATTTATATAAGTATAAAAACTATTATCAATATATATATATATATATATATTAAATATCCTATTATATATTAAAATAAAGAAATATGATAAACTACTAAATAATTATAAAATTATGTAAAATTTAATATATGATCTTATTATAACATCACATAATATAATTATTAAATTATTAAATTTATATTATACAAAATTTATTAAATATATAAAATTTGGTATAACGTATTATCAACAAATTATGACTCTTTATTATTATATATATATTATTTTTTTTATACACGAGTTATTAAATGCTACTTGCATTATGTTTTTACGTTTTAACATGCATTTTAATTTGATTATGGTTTTATAATATCAATGAACATTAAATATATTTTTTTATAGTTTTAATTATTATAATACATTTTTAATTATCATTAAAATTTTAAAATTATTAAAAATATATTAGAAAGTCATATAATTTAATTTGTAAAATCAAAAATATTAATTATAATTTTAAAATTTGATGTTAAATCTTTAAAGTCAAACAAAATGGAACAGGAAAGGAATATTATATTTATATATGTGTGTTTGTGTTTTATCATTTAATTATTTCTGTTTTTTAATTTATTATTTATTCAGCTTGGTTTCAAATTTTATTCTCACAATACAATTTAAATAAGTTTGAAATTAATTTCAGTCTTTTTTCCCGTATTATATGAAAAAAAAAATCAACAAAAAACTTTTATACAGAAAAAGTACTATCATTTTAACAAGTAAAAAGTACATAATAATTATATTTTACAAAACAATTTATAATACACACATATATATATATATATATATATATATATATATATATATATATATATATTATAACTAGCAATATAAGAGTCATTTTGTGCTTTCAAGTGAATAGTGGTTTGTTTTTAATAATTAATTAGTGAACAATTTTTTAGTTATGTATAATTTTTTATTGTAATTAATTAAAGGATATAATTAAAAAATCAAAAAGGGGTATTTCTTTAATTATTAGTACAGGTTAAAATTTGTAATAAATAATAGTTTTAAATATATAAATTATATTTTTAATTTTCATATTGTGATATTTCCTAATTATTGATATTTAAAAATGACATATTCAAAAGATATTGAAATAAATTTTAAAACCATATATTTGATTAAAAAGTATTGAGGTAAATATAAAAATTAATATTTTAACATATTTATTGTATAAATTAATTATTTATTCAATATAACTAAATGATTTAAATATGTTTAACTACTTGTAAATTGGATGTATTTTGATTTTATTTATTACAAAATTGTTTCTTAATTTTTCACTCTCTAAAATTTAGAATCGTTATTTTTTTGTCACTATGAAATGAAAAAATTTTAGTTTTGATTTCAATAGAATATATTTTTTTATAAAATTTAAAGTTATTAATTTTGGTCCTTAATCTTCATTTTAAGGTTGATAAGTAATATTTAGATGTCACATACGGATGTGAAATCAAATATAGTTTTTGGTGTAATTAAGGATGATCACTTGTCCATAGGAAAAATAGAAAGCTAGTTCATAATTATAACACCAGGAACTAAAAACAACAATTTAAATTTTTAAGAGATGAAAAATAAAAAAACTTTTTTACAAGAATCAAAACTAAAAGTAACTCATTTTACAGGGACTAAAAATAAATTTAATTTATATTATGATAAATAATTTATATTGTGACACAATTATTTTTTACTATTGATAATCTTTTTTTTTTTAATATTGATAAATACAAAGATGATACGTTCAGATAAATTAGAATTTTTAAAAAATATTTAAATGAATGTGAAAATGATATATTAAAAAATTGTTTTTTGAGAGAATATATTAAAAAGGATTAGAGATTAAAAAAATATTAAAGTTAACATAAAATGATACATAGAGTTAACATTTAAATTTTAAAGATTATATGTTTATTTAAGTTTGATATTCAGATAGATAGCATATTGTTTCTCCTTTGATATATAAAAATATTGGCTTAATTGCGCATTAGAAATGTAAAAGTGCACCTGATTATAAAAGAAGAATATTTAAATAAAATGAATGTAAGATACCGGAGAGGGTACAACGTTAACAAAGCATACTATTATAATTTGCTAGTATCTATAGTGATTCATTAATATCTGGTCAAAAGTTCAATCATCATCGATTCTTATGTATGAAAAATATTTGTTAGATCTCAATATTTAGAATGATTAGTTCTTAATCTTTGACTTTGGATATCTCGATTCAACAAAATAAAAACTATATACTAAATGTATAATTTCTATTAGAATTAGATTAAATTCATATTTTCAAAATTATCATTAATTTTCAGATATGTTACTATTTGAAAAACTAAAACAATTTTTTTTTTAATTTTATAAGAATTAAAAATATCAGTCTTAAATTTGAGGGACAAAAAACAAGAATATCCTAAAATTGAAGAATTAAAAACATATTTAAACCTATAATCAAATATAAGATTTCAATTTTTTTAATTTTTTTTGTCCAAATTTTTATTTTCTGTATCAATTGTTATTGAAATTTATTACTTTATATTTATTCTTATTTATACATTCAATTTATCTTTCGTCCTACTTTAACTTAGTTTTTACTAAATTTAAATATATTTTTAGTTTATCAAATTTTAAATAAATTTATTTTTATTTCTTCAAATTTAAAATTAATCTTTTTAATTTTTATTATTTTATCTTTCTGATCACCAATAACTTATAATAACGACAAATTGAAAAATTATATAAAATCAAATCATCATTTAAATTTATAAATATGATATTTTTACAAATAAAAATACTAATAAATAGATTTTGTGATAGTGTTTGTCAAATATATTTACAAAACGACATTTAAACATAAAAACTAAAATAAAATTTTATCAAATTATATAGATTAAAATCCAAAATTTAAATTTAAAAGAGAAAAATAAATTTACCTCAGAATTAAAAAAAGTAAAATCATACTTAAAAACATATTTAAAATTTTCTTTTTCAGTCGCTCTTTATTTTATTACATCGTTACATCTATCGATTTCATCGTTTATCACATTTGTATATCGATTGGCTATATTTTGATATTGATGTTGAAAGTTGCAAGTAGTATATACAATCGGGAAAATGTCAGTTGTAAATGGAAAATACATCTGTCCTAAAAGCCATAATTTGAATTTATTTCAATTAATAGTGTAATCAATTAATTAACTGTGCCTTTCAAAAACACAAAAAGAAGAAAAGGGAATGGTGGAGAAGCAGGCCGTTTTGCACCGTGAATTAGGCATATTCGCTGCCCCTTTCATGGAAGACTTGGTATTGTTTAGTATTATTTAAATAATTTATAATTAATTTATGCACTTGTCTTTTTATTAATCAATGATCATCTAAAACAAGAGGCTGAGTGTGGATTTTGGTTGTATAGGATTAGACCCCACTTATCTTTCTGTTCACCTCAGCCATTTGTGGCCAAGGAATTGCTTCTTTATTTTTCCTTTTGATGGGTCTATTCATGATTTCAGGCCACCTTTAATTTTATATTTAACTTTTTTTTTTCTTTTGAAAGATTAGTGGTATCATTGCAAGTATCAGCAGCCACCAAAGAAGAAATAAAGTAAAATATTATCTATCATCGTGAATTTGGAAAATATTATATATGTGTTTTCATAACAATCCTATAATTTCTGTATGTACTTTTTTTTTATGTAGTTAATTCTGTGATTATTGTCTTAAAGTTTTCTTTTATAAGAAGAGTAATTCAATTAAGTTAATAATAGAAGAAAAAATTAAAGTTTTTTTTTGTAGTAATCATAATATTAATAGGAAATATGCAATATAAAAAATAGTAATTAATCTATGTTAAAGAATATAAATGTACACAAAGTTAATATTTCTAGACTTTGAAATATATTATGTTGAAAAAGAAATACACGCGTTATATGTGTTCATAGTTACCATAGAGATTAGTTATTATTTTTAATGATAATTAAATATTTCATAGTTATTAAAAAAAACTAAAGGTTGATATTGATTAAGTGTACATATATGATATATTGGAATAATAACAGTTAATTTTTAATTAATAATAAAAATTATTTATTTAATTTATTCTCTTATTTTAAAAGAGTCAAATGTATAATCTTATTTGTTAAATCAAATTAATTTTTTTTAATATTTTTAATTTGCATAATGAAATGTTTATGGATAAAATAATATTTCATTAATTAAATTAATTTTTTAAAAATCTCAAAACTAATTTTATACATATGTATATTTTTCACACCAATACTACTAATATCGGCTAGCTAGGTCAACACAAGATTGAAGCTATCTTTGGAATGCCAATCTTTTTAATATTAAAATAGGTAGTGTTGACTTTAGTGTTGGCTTAAGGTAATGGTTAGGAAGATATTATTCAAGAGTCAACTTGGGTCATTTATGTACTTGCATTTGTTTAGCATTGGCCATGCTGACAATAATTATATATTAGCGGCTTAGCTAGCATACTTAGACTCCTTCTATAGAAGAGATAGAGTCCGACAATATAAATGAAGTGTTAGTTTATATTTAAAAGTGTTTTCTCTCTTCTCACATGCAAGAAGCATGTTTATGCTCTATCAATTTTTTTTTTTTCAATTATCCATCCTTTGAAACTAAAAGATATTTTGATATATGATCATGAGGATATCAACTGTCCATAACTCCTGACGATGGTTCATAAAAGAAAGAAGTACATGAAACCCCTGGATGAAACTAACAGATGAAAACATATCATCCATATGATATCGATCAAGTTTTATGAGACATCAAAGAGAGAGTGAGAACAACATCATCCTTTTAGCAACAAGCTCACTCAACCTACTTGTAGATATTAAAACCAAAGATTATGAACAAAACTTTATATAAGACAAGGATA